AAGGGTTTTTATGCTTCAGGTAGTATAGATCAGGTAACAAAAACAATAATGCTCTCAATATTTTATAGAAATAATATCTTACAGCTTTATATAAAAAAGAATAAGAGGCAAATTTGTACATTATAGTGGTTTACTCTCAATGATAGATGTTAAAATTTAAATGCAAATATATTGACCAAGAGTAACACAGATAATTTGAAAGTGTAATTCTATGTACATCTCCTTAGAAATAAATCCAGTTCAATAATACTTTAACTTTATTAAAGTTAAAGTATTTATTTATTTATTTATACATTTATTTAAATACATTAACAGTTTAATGTATGACCAGGTAAGAATACACAGGACAATAACTAAAGATTCTCAATCTTGTTGACTATGCTCAATGGGCTTTTCCTTCTTTCTTTTTTAATGATGTCAGCTAAGAAATCAATTTTGAAGGTCCCCTGAGTTTAAGTAGGAGTTTGCCATGTGACATGACATGACATGACATGACATACTATTATTTGAGAAGCACATGCCAAACCTCACATTGGATATGTAGATATATAAATTAATTGCATAGTTCTTTGGATCCTGGTCTTGAACTAGAATATTTTTTCTAATAACAAGGTGATTCTTTTACAAGATTTTCTCATACAACAGCTACATTAACTCCTACAGCTCAATTAGTTATTGAGCTTCATACATTTTAACATTTTTAAATTTTTTATTGAAATCTGACATTTGTGGCGAAAAGTCTCTTGACTTTTTTGAGTCCCAAAATCGTATATATATACTGATATATTAACAGATAAAAGAAAAAACGAAACCAGGATATAATAAACCAGCCTGTTTAATATAAACAAGCCTGTGGTTAAAAAGACGGGATAGCGCCAAATTCTTGGAGGAACTGAACTCAGTATATCCAGACATCTGCTTAACCACAGAAGAAGAGATCCAAGGCAGTCTTGCCTTTCTGGATGTACTGATCAGCTGACGCCCCAATGGCACATTGTGCACGTCTGTATATCGCAAACCACCCATACAGACAGAATGCTACATTATAATAGCAACCACCCAGTAGCACATAAAATCAGCTGCATCCGGACACTGTTTAAACGTGTTAATTCCCATTGTAGGAAGGGCAGAGCTAAAGCCGAGGAGAAAAAACATCTCCATCACATCTTCATGCACAATGGCTATCCCATGGGTTTGTGAGATGGCATAGTAGACCACATCGAAATCATAGAGACACACGCTCCAATGTGACAGCAATGCTGGCCACACGAACAACCCTCCCTTACATTCATGGTGTCTCTGAGGCCACAGCACAGCTGTTGGCCCCCTACAATGTGAGTGTTACCCACAGGCCCGAGCACATCCTTAGGTCCAAGGTCATGCATCCAAAAGAACTGCTCCCCAATGGTCAAATATCATCTGTGTTTACAGAATTAATTGCAAGGACTGTGCAAGCAATTACGTTGGGGAAACCACTAAAAGACTGAGGACCAGGATTCATGAGCATGAACTGGCTATTAGAAGGCAGGAGCAATGCTCACAAGTGTGGGCCCATATGTCCAGCTCTGGCCACACTTTCGATTTAGCTAATGCAGAGGTTATAGCTCGTGAGACTACCAAGAGTGGCCGCCTACTTAAGGAAGCCTGGCTCTCTAATGAAAATTCCATCAACCAGCATATAGACCTTTTGCCGGCCTACCAGACACTTAGGAGATGGGAACAACAGCATCACAGCCTACTGAGAAGACATTTAACTCTTTCTTGGCAGGATTGGGGTGGTAGAATGATGGATGCGACAGGCACGATCTCCAAGGAAGAAGATGGCAGCATTTTACATAATTGGGACCATGGCTCTATAGATGGGTCGACCACGACTCACATGGACCGAGATGATGGACCAAATGGCCTTAAGCTAGGGATGGAAGCGCTGAGGCGATCTGGAAGGAGGGAGAGGGAGGGGGAAGACAGAGAGCAGGAATACCGGAACAGCTGCTTGTTGCAGGACTGGGGTGGAGGAGTTACGACAACGGCCTTGGGGTGGGGGAGGATAATGGCCCTGGGAGGGGGACTGGGCACAGGGACAGATTGACAGCCGCCCTCCAAGTGCTTGCACATGCTCAAAAAGAGCACTTGAGGATCGTAAAACAACCAGTGGAGTCAAAGACAGTTTGCCTGATGCGGAACAACTCGGTGTGATAAGGATTAACACAATCAACGGGCTGATGATGTGCTCAAGGAGCTGGGCGCAGAGGCAGGAGGCTGTATGAGCTGCCTTCCCAATCTCCTGCTATTCTAACTCTGATGACGCCGGCAGTTTTTTGGCTGGACGAAAGCTTAGTAACTCTTTTTAACCAAAGACTTGTTTATATTAAACAGGCTGGTTTATTATATCCTGGTGTTCGTTTTTTATTTTTTTATTTTTCTTTTTCTTTTATCTGTTAGCATAATGCCCAGGATTCACATTTTTAGTATTTTAAAAGAGAATACTGATATATATATTTGTTTTCTGAGGTTTTCGCAGGTGTTTGTATGTAGGTCTTTGGTTATTCGGATTTTCTCCCGTGTCAAATTGGAAGTGTCTAGGAACACGAAGCCAAAAACATCAGCCTGAAGATGACGAATGAGACTTCGTCGAAATGTCACCAAGACACTTCCAATTTGACGCGGGAGAAAACCTGAATAACCAAAGACCTACATATATATATATATATAAACAAAGTCTACTAAATCATAAAACAATGATTGTCTACAAACAAGTTATCCAAGGTAAAGAATTGTGTTTCCTCACGATCAAACTTCACGATCAAACTTTATTTCTTAATGAAGCTGAAGGCCACTTGGATGTAGTTCATTGATAATGCTGAGCTGCAAGAATTACAAAACCTTAAGGTAATTTCCTTTCTGTTATTGATGCATTCTAGATTCGTCCATTATAATCATTGTATAAAAGAAACCATTTCATACTGAAAAGTATGTTCTCCGTTTTCAAAAAGTCAGATGAACCTTTGTAAGAAGGCACAAATTTGTCTCTGACAGTGCCCTGATTTTTGTATATGTTCTTTCCAGTTCAGTAAGAAGAGAATAAACCTGTATAATATACTCCAGCTATATTAATGGCTTTTATATATAAGAAACTTCTTAAATTTTAAAGGGCCATTCAAGAGGGCTGAATATTTTGGACCAATTTCATTGTCAGAGTTTGTGGAGGTACAGAAAACATAGTTATTCTGGAAGGGACCATGGATGTCTTCTAGTCCAACTCTCTGCTCAAGCAGGAGACCTATATCATTCCAGACAAATGGCTGTTCAATCTCTTGTTAACATTCTCCAGTGATAGACCACCCACAACTAGTTATTTCACTGATTGTTCTCACTGACAGGAAATTTCTCCTTAATTCTACATTGGATCTCTCTTGGCTAAGCTTCCATTTGTTATTTCTTGTTCTCTGGTGCTTTGGATAATAGGATAACTACCCTCCTCTGAGACAGTCTTTCAAATATTGGAAGACTGCTATCATGTCACCCTGCTATCATGTCACCCATAGTCCTTCTCTTCATTAGACTAAGACATTCCCAGTTCCCACATTCATTCATCGTATGGTTTAGCCTCCAGTCCCCTAAGCATCTTTGCTACTCTTCTTTGCACTCTTTCTAGACTCTCAACATAGACACAATATACTAAGTATAGTCTTAACAATGCACTATAAAGCAGTACTAACGCTTCACGTGATCTTGATACTATCCCTTGGTATAAATGTGGTATCTGCCTGTCTTTAAAGCAGCCATATTTATTAAGTGGCCACACAATCTTGGAGAAAAGATATGGCTGCTTTAAAGAGTCATGAACATTCACGTCTCCATGTGCTCTGAATCTTTTGGAATCACATCTGAAAGGGTACAAATCTATATCACTCTTTTTCAAAGTGCTTCAGAGCACATTAGGAATTTCAGTGACCTCTCCCTCATGCAATTTTCTATTTGTTTAGCTACCTATAAGAATAGGCTTGACCTGTTCATGTGTCTGTATAAATTAAATTTAGATAGAATCAAGCCATTTGCTTCTTGATTCAGAAATGCTCATATAAGAACATGCTCCAAATCCTCCATTCTAGGGAGTTCATAATACTCTATCGTATAGATTTTTGCTACAAGAACTATACTTTATGTTTTCAAAACTGGTCCTTCTTCAAGAAAAGAGAGGGAGGGGGATATGAGAGAGGGAGGGAGGGAGGGAGGGGGAGAAAATAAAGTATTAAAATGAAGCACTATTCTACTTCAATTCACGTCTTATTTTCTAATAACCGCTAAAATATAAATATTGCCTGAACCATAAGAGTTGTCATATTCTAAGAAATCCTACATAAAAACAAAACAAAAAAGCCCCCATCATTATTTTAATGAATTGCAGTAGTCATCCTACAAGTTTGGCAAACCTGAGCCAGTATAGAAATGATATGTTGTGAAGTGACCTCCCTGTAGGAAAAAGCTTAGGTGAGTTGTGAGGATCTGAAGACAGAATTGGTGTTAATCATATCATGCTGCTTGACATATGAAAGAAATGTAAAAGAGTTACTTTTCTATGATTCCACAGCAGCAAAGAGGTAGGGAATTTGATAGAAAGAGCAGGTTTGTTTTAAATTGCTGAAGCATATAGAACAGATGACCTTGAAAACTACAACATCCATTAGAGACACTCCTGATTGTATCTGTAGTCTCCTTTGAAAATGCAAAGTACAAACATCTTATTAAAAAACCTTAGACATTGTAATGGTTCAGAAGAACAATGACAGCCATGTGTCCTTGTAGCAGTGTTCCTCTTGGAGAGATGAACGGCAAGCTCAATTGCTTTACTATAATCTCTCTATTTCCATGCTTCATTTCCTTCGTTTAGCTGAGACCGGAGGGAAAAAAACAACATGTTCCCAAGCTTCTAACACCACAATGCATATAATAAACCTGAATGTAATGGAGATCAGAACTCCAAAATGAACATACCTCTCTACATGTCAACATTTATTTTTTAAAAAATGAAAAAAAAAGTTCTCCTGCATGAATCAGAAGACATAATATTAATATTAATAATAATCAATATATAGACAGCAACTTTCCTCCCATACCTACATAGGCATCACAAAACTGTGAGAATCACTTTCCACCTTTTCAATTGACATTTCCTGCAAACAACTGTAATAAGGCAATAGCATGTTTTGCAGATTTTCAGAATCGGAACTGCAGTCTATTTTCAGAATTACCCAGATATTTACAGATTTTTGGGGGGACTTAGTAGCCTTTCAGACAAATAGAAGTCACTGTGTTGGATTGTTTTGAGCCAGCAACTTGCATGCGACACTGCAAATGAAAAATGAAACCTTGCATTAATAGTATACAATATACTGTAGTACTATTTTAAATGGTAAATGAACTTTTTCCTCTTTCCTCCACCAAGCAGAGACTCTGAAGTCTCAACCCAGCAAAACTCAGAAGGCATCTACAGGGTATCATTGAATCACTGAGGTCACAGTGCAGTATTTATTCTTAGAGGTTAATTGCCTCTGCAGGTATATGAGATATGAGGGTTGCTATCTGTTTGTATATGGCCAAGCATCTTAATTTTACCAAAAATGCCATTTGATGCTCACTATTTGTTGTTCAGTGCAGTTCCTTGGGCAATTTTCTAATGAACATAAGCTTCACCAAGTCAAACAAAAAGAAAAGGAAAGGGGAAAAAAAGGTTAAAAAAAGATGGAGAAATATTTACAGATTTTTCTTAGTCCAGATACTGAGTTTCTCTTTCCCCTTCCCTTTAGTGCAATGTCATAAAAAAGTTCAAAGGCTATGAATACAAATTTTCTGGTCCAGTTCCATACATATCTGCAAGCCGTTTGAAACGAGGCCCCCAGTCACTGAGATAATCATAATTCTGATCAGAGTTTGAACTGACAGAATCTAAAGAGCTGAGTGATTCAGCCACTGAACCGTTTCCCTCAAATGCATATGTCTGCAGGGAATCGTATGGCGGAGCGCAGGGATCCACATCAGCTTCTTTTAGCCTTTCCCAAATAAATTCCCGAAAAATAACATTATCGGGGATGCTTTTAAAAGACGGTCTGCTCAAGAACTGGATCTCTGGAGTCACATCCCTCCTGATCTTGGTATCGCGAATGACATTGAGGTTTCTGAGGGCAGCCATATCAAAAGCCTCGGTGTCCTCCTCTCCACCTCCCTCATCATCGTATCGTACTATATTTTCCCTGATATCTCTCTCTTCATCTAAAACAAGAGGCTCTTTTTTCCGTCGTCTCATTGTAACAATCAGCAGGACAAGCACTGCAATAGAAGAAGTAAAACTTTAAGCAAAGTCGAATCAAGCTAATACACACATTACATTCCCCGTTCAGAATAAAACTATTCATAAATTATACAAGATAAACAGGTTTCTGATGGTTACACAATAAGGTTTGTTTGAGATTCTTTTTTATATATAGAAAAAGTTCCTTAAAATGGCTTTAAAGGCTTTTAGACATTAAAGGATCTATTACTATGTTCATTCTGATTTCATCATATGTATTTCTTATTTGGTACAGATTGCTAAAACATAGATTTTAAAGCAAGTTCAAGAAGAAAATTACAGCCTCTCAGCCATTAAATATAGAGACCTTTTTCTGAACTCTTAATTGCCCGACCAATAAAAATACATTCAAAAACTCTCTATGTGCACTTTAACTGTCAGGGTTTGGGAAGTGACTCCATTATTGAAGTGTATGAGTACAGATTATTGATCCTTGATTGGAAAATTCATAGTTGTTAAATAATAGCTAGCATAAGTTGTGGTTCATGCATTAAAAGCATTATAACACAGAGCACTTTGCTTTAACATGCAAAATACCTATCACGGATCTGTGAATTTTTTTGCACAGAGAGATGTTGGTATTTATTGACCCAGATCACTTCCCTGGATAACAATGTTTTTTGACATTTCTAATAGTTAAGATAATTTCTTGGTGGCTTTAGAGATGGGACATTCACAGAAGTACTGAAAAGACATAAATACTTTGTATATACACATTTAATCATTTGCAGCTGATATTAAGAATCAACAAAAACATAATTCAATCATACCACTCAAATTTCAAGTTATATACACATTTATCTTTAAGAATGACTTTCGTTAAAGATTTAGTTATTTCATTTTGAAAATAAAAAACAAAACATTATATACATTATATATTTGTATTAATTAAATATTCCTAAACACAACTGACATATTAAGGAAATCAATGATAATCCAAATTGCACTGGGTTATTTTAATAATGACCTCTGGTACTTTTGCAATATCATTATCACAATGTAAAATAGTGGCTCTTAATGTAGGTGCAAGCAATTGAAAAATTGAGCGTAATGTCTATACTATAACTACTATAATAAATATATATAATTTCCATAAAAGAACATATCAATGGTTGTACAGAAAGAAAAGAAACCTGGATTAAAATAAAGAAGATAACTGGCATGTATTTTCCATCTGAGTTGAAAAATAAAAGGTTACATTAGGGATTCATGGAGTAAGTATATTATCCTGGATAAATAAAAAATGGAAAATATTTATAACATATTTCAAATTCCGCCCCCAAATGGGTGCTGCTAGGCTTTTCTTTCTTTCTTTTAAAATTACTTTTGACTATTCTAAGTTACTAACTATGCCATGTAGCAAGCAGTTAATCTGTTCATTACACCAGTGAAAATGTGTTTTCACACTGTGACATGTTCAGCAGACTTTATCTGGGGAGTTAAATACCTGCTAATAAGTGCAAAATATATGAAACTTAGTAGATTTATCTGCTGAGAGGTACAATAAAAAGCAAGATAAAAAGAATGTTTTATGCGGCTTTGCCTTGCACAGCTCATGACTGCTTGAAGCCAAACCGAAAAAAAGTCCTTTGAAATGTTAAACAATTTAGCATATAAATGGCTTTAAGAGCATATTAATTTCTAATCACTTCAACTGCTCTTGCACAATAATTTTTAACCTCTATCTGAATAAAAGCTGTATGAAAAGCCATGCAAAATCCATAGCAATGTCTGAAAAACTAGTCAATTTTGCTTCAAATGCACTAATTGCTGGAGTTGAATGGAACTATTATAGAACAGAATTTTAAAATTAACAATGATGACATGTTTTTTTTTTAAAAAAGAAACCAGTATCAGCCACCACTAGTTCTAAAATAAGACACAGCTATTTTAGTTTTTTTTTTTAGCAGAAAACCAACAAAGCATTTGTGGAACTTTAAAGGCTAACAATAACATTAATTGTCCTTTCTCACCTCTATATTTTTGCTATTGGATTGTGATCATACATTTAGCTTGTATAAAAATAAATGTTTAAGCTTTTATAATACTATAGGATTCTTATTAGTATTAGGCTAAACAAGCAATTAAATTCACAGACAGAATTGTTCATTACTTTCAACGTACAAAATTCTTTTAGGCTTCAGAACAAAATACTCCAAATTTGTTTTCTGCTAACTTACAAATTATTTGAGATCTGTATTCACCAAAACAAAAATAACTGAGGAAAAGGAAGAAGGAATATAAGTATATGTTATAATCTAATGTGTCTCCAGCTTTTATTTACCTGAGCTTAAGAGCACAATAGCTTAGTCTGAAAGGTTACCCATATTCCAAGAGGACAGGAGGGAAACCTTATCCTCAATCTTCCATCTTTGCTCAAATAAATGCAAGAGCAGGAAACAGTTATGCAATAAAAGTTGCTTTTTCCAAGCCAGGAACATATCCCATAAAGTGGGAGGGGACAATCTGATGTGATAGGGCTAGGTACATATTGCTGATGGTTGGCAGGTAAAAGGCCTTTTCCCCCATTTTTCAAGAAGGCAGCTATTCTGCAATGAACATTACGGTAAATTTTGTTCACATCCCAATCTGCATTACACACTAGTTCCTGACAGTGAGAACAATTAATCAGTGGAACAGCTTGCCTCCAGAAGCGATAAATGCTCCAACACTGGAAGTTTTTAAGAAGAGACTGGACAGCCATTTGTCCGAAATGGTGTAGGGTTTCCTGCCCAAGCAGGGGGTTGGACTAGATGACCTCCAAGGTCCCTTCCAACTTTACTATTATTATTATTATTATATATATGTTTTCTGAGGTTTTCGCGGGTGTTTGTATGTAGGTCTTTGGTTGTTCGGGTTTTCTCCCGCGTAAAATTGGAAGTGTCTTGGCGACGTTTCGACGAAGTCCCATTCGTCATCTTCAGGCTGGTGCTTTCAGCTTTGTGCTTCGACCCCTCTGCAACTCAGACTAACCTGAGCACAACCAAACAGAACACTCCCCCAGCCAATCAGAGCACAGCCAAGCCCCTAACCATTCAGAACACACCTCCACCCAATCAGAACACAGCCAAGCTCCCACCCAATCAGTTCATACCCCCACTGGCAGTTAAAAGGAAGAAACAGCTAAGACCACACATTGCTGCTCAAAGCACGAAGCTGAAAACACCAGCCTGAAGATGACGAATGGGACTTCGTCGAAACGTCGCCAAGACACTTCCAATTTTACGTGGGAGAAAACCCGAACAACCAAAGACCTACATACAAATACCCGCGAAAACCTCAGAAAACACATACATACATACATACATACCATGGAAGCTAAGGCAGAAGAAAGAAAACATCTATTCCGCATATGCCGAATGAATGGGTATCCCCCGAGGTTTATTAAGCGACACAGTATGGCACCCGGACTACATAATGGACAATCAAGAGAGGACCTCCAGACACGGGTCATACGCGTGTCACTACCATACATCAGAAATGTGTCAGAGGCTACAGCCAGGCTTCTGGCACCCCACAACATACAGGTAGCCCACAAACCCACCCAAACCATACGAGCTAAGGTGATGCGCCCCAAAGATCAGCTCCCCACCGCCGAGAGATCAGCCATAGTTTATAAAATCAACTGTGCGGATTGCCAGAGTAATTACATAGGCGAGACCTCGAAAAGACTTAAGACCCGCCTACATGAGCATAGGCTAGCCATCAGACGGGGTGAACAACACTCCCAGATTTGGGCTCATGCAGTAGAATACGGCCATCGTTTTGATTTTGAGAATGCCCAAATCTTGGCTAACGATATCACAAAAAGAGGCCGCTTATTAAAAGAGGCATGGTTCTCAGAAACTGAATCCATCAATAGGCGTGTGGATTTGTGTGCAGCACACCAGGCTCTGAAAATATGGAATGCTGGTAGCCGCATTAACCGGGAGAGGGGACCTAATTCAAAGACTTACTATCCAGAAGACATCGCCCGACCCCCCTCCTCATGTAATCACATTAATGCAGCCCTCACTGATGGCCCCCCCTTCCTGGAACAACTACAGACCAGTCCTGGCAGACAACTGCGGACGGATTCGCCACGATCCGTAGAGAACGGAACAGCATGGAGATGGAATGGAAATGGATGGGGATTCGAGAAACTGGAAGAAAAACGGAATACAACCAGGTCCGGTAGAGATGAGGAGAACGACGATGAACCCCCCCATGAGGAGGCTACCAGACACAGCATGACAACTCGATCGCAATCCAGCAGGAGAATGCACCCCCCTTCGACACCCCCAGCGCAAAGTTATGGGATGAAACAGCGACTACAATTAAAGGGGAAGAGCACCGTATGGAGTGGGAATGGAGAACCAAGGACGGACGGTAACGTTGCCCACCGGCAACGGATGGAACAACGAGCCACTGACAATAGGACAACGACAAAAAACATCTTGACGGTGCGCAAGACAGAGCGTGTGGGAACGAACAGCGGACCGTACAGGGGAACCCAGGGGAAGAAGGAGGGGAGGAGGAACAATATGGGCGGGGGTTATGAATCTAGGGCACAATTCCGGGAGACGGATAAACAAGACCAAAATAGCCGTGAGGCTTGTAAGGATACTGAAAGTGATAATTGCCCACCCCCACTCGTAGAGGGAAGTCGTGTGTGGGATGGTGGTGGGGGGGAGGCTATGAGCAAGGAAGGCAAAAAGATCTGGACTCCCAACTCTGAAACAACTTATGACAGAATGCAGACTAGTAATGTGGGATGTAGGCTGGAGACCCAACCCGATCAGCTGGGGCCTATGACACGCTCCAGGAGCCGGAAGCAGACACTAAACAGCTGTATATAAGACTCTCCCCCGGCACTTACCTTTTAACCCTGACGATGTCAATTGTGTTTGACGAAAGCTCGGTGGATTAAAATTCTATTTTTATAGATACTCTCTTGGTGATCATTACTATTTGACTAACATGAATATTCCCAAGAGTCATGTTTTTGTTTTTATTTCCAATCATACATACATACATACATACATATATATATATGATGTTGTTTTACATCATAAGACTTTAAAAATTCAGTATAGGCAATCCTCAATTTATGACCACAATTGAGCCCAAAATTTCTGTTGCTAAGCAAGACAGTTGTTAAGTGAGTTTTGCCCCATTTTATGACCTTTCCTGCTACAGTTGTTAAGTGAATCATAGCATTGTTAATAATGTGGCTGTTAAGTAAATCTGGCTTCCCCATTGAATTTGCTTGTTAGAAGGTCACAAAAGATGATCATATGACCTCAAGGACACCGTGACCATCATATAGTTAAGGCAGTTGCCAAGTGTCTGAAGTCTGATCACATCACCATGGACATGATGCAATAGCTGTAAGTATGAAAAAATGGTCATAAGCCACTGTTTTCATAACCGTTGTAACTTTGAATGGTCACTAAATGAACTCCTATAGGTTGAAGACTACCTGCTGTTAACACATCCACAAATATTAAAGGCTTAAGAAACTCATTGAAGCTTCAATTCTAAATGGTAGTCAGTCTAATCCTGGTTTTCCTTAAAATTTCTGTATCAACAATTCCCATCATCTGAAGAAATGTTGGTCAATTGATAGGAATTCACTAGTCCAACTCATGTTATGCATGGAAGCATGTTATGTATGGAAGACTGTAGATGTTACTGAAGTCTAACTGCATAATGCTGTTCCGTATATGATTAGCATTTATGCTATCTCCACTGGTTTCATATTAATATGCCAACTTTGTAAATCATTTTAAGTGCTGCAAGAGTGGAAGACTTATTTCTGCTATTGTAACATTGTTCCATGTAGTCTTCCACAAAATACAGCTTTGACTTGCTACCTAGCTATAAAAAAATCATATCTTCATTTCTATTTGTTAGATTTTACTTTAACTCATATAGGTTTTTTTTAAAAAAATCATTGGAACAAAGCTTTTATTGATTGTTCAATAAAATCCAGGTTCTGGATGTGAATTATTGGTTTATTTTAGATGTATGTATACATGTACACATATCTCTCTCTCTCTCTCTCTCTCTCTCTCTCTCTCTCTCTATCTATCTATCTATCTATTTCTGAAATATTGTTTTATGCAAATAGAAGATAATATCTATAGCTCAGGGTTGAACTGTGGAGTTCTTGCTGGTCTTTGAACTTGTTTTTTTTTTCCTTATAGACATTCCAGTACCCAACTATTATTTGATTCTCCTAAATTGCTTTGAAAGAGACTTTAAAAGCCAAAAGGCAATACTGTATAAAAAGGCAACCCCTAAATAAAAATGAGATATCTAGTTTAAATACAAGCACTCTAAAGGCTGTACACTGCCTTAAAAAAAAAAAATCTAATCTACAGCACAAAACTAGGGAGAAAAAACTCAGTTCTACTCCTAACAATACAGTCCTTTGTATTGTAATACAATGACTTTTATTCTCACAAACAATTAAATTCAGTCCATAGCCACTAAAATTAACTCAATCCTGATCTGAAAAGGAACTTAACACGACTCTCTACAAAAGAGGTATCCTATGTGAAATACTGATGCAGATTTGGAAAAAAGGTTAATTAGACTGCACCATGTTTAAATACAATAACACTTGGTGAGAAGAAAGTATGGAAAAAGTTACTGCCATATTAAGCAGTTATTATTATGCTTTTGTGATATTAACAGAAAAAATACACTGCAATTGCCATATTATTCTCAGAGGCATTAAAGTTTTTTTTCCCTTTCTCTTTTAAAAATTATATACAGTGTAAATGAAATGACACACATCATAACAATTTTCTTTGATTTTGCAAATTGCAAAATTAGTTTTAGGAGTTTACTTCTGTTTTATTTGACCCCAGGCAGAGGCTAATGTAAAATCAGATTTCCATCTTGACTTATATCTAAAGTTTTTGACTACAATGGTACACTGTGTAATATACGTTTACGGCAACTTTTGAAACCTGGAGTCCTTCCACTATGCTGGATTTGCAGGGCAGTAACATAAGCAAGAATGAATGATGTCGGAATTGTTTGGGAAGTATGAATTTAATCTTTATTCTACATCTAATAAGTTAAATTCTCTCCAATATAACTTAAGAGTTCTCAGCAAAGTTGAATCTACCTTCAAATCTGCTTTGGTGTCAGTTGCATTTCTAGATCTCATAGATTTAATATATCAATTAGGAAATGTGTTTTTGAGCTTTAATGAGATAAAGGGCCATCTGGAGATCTCAGTCTTTACTTTTATCATAACTCATCACAATAATTACAGTACTTGGGGAAAATATTGCCATCCTAACTTTTATACCTGATATTTTTGGTGGAAACTGTTCTTAAGAACCTGCACTACAGGAAAAAAGAAAGTTAGGAAACTGAATGTTAGAAACACTTAGAAAGTTAGAACTCTTAGGAAAAAAGAGTGCCAATCCTGAAAAGGCTAACCAAACAAAAGCAAGAGTTATAATGAGATCTGAATTTGGCACAGCACCTGTTGAGAGTTAACTCTACAGAGTCAGTGAGCAATCATATAAAACTAAACATTATCACTGTAAAAAGAAAGGACAAATAGAAACAAATGAATCCCATTCATTCATTTTTCTCCATTTAGAGAAAAAATTATCATTTAAAAAGATTTTATTCCTGTATTTATAAATAAGGCTAGTCCATTATTAACAGTAGATTCTATGAATATTGTCTTTCTACTTTCTTCAATAAATATTATTTATCCTTGGATTTTCCTGTGGGCTTATCTAATTGGTTCCAGTCCAGCTACCAGATAAAGCCTGAAAGAGCCTAGTGGTGAATTTATTAGCATAGTTCTACATTTAATTACATAAGCAATTTTTGACAACCAGGAAGAAGTAGAGATTTCAATAAAAAAAATAGGTATATCAAAATAATAATGATGTTACTGTTTTCTCATCAAGTTCTTTTCCAGCTTATCTGAATTGCTGTGCTTGAGAAAATAATGTATTTTTAAATATTCCTGTAAATCTGTAAGTGAAATTTCATCCATTCCATATATTATATCATTGTTTTGTTTAAGAAATAATTTTGAGCAAGCAGAATTCTATAGTGTCCTTTGACATGGGGAACATTATGAAATTAGATCATACAGATGGGGATTGGAAGTTTCTAGTCTGACTGATTATATGCAATGTGATAGGGCTGGGGAAAGTTTCAGTTCAAAGTTTATTATATAAATGGAAATGATTTCCTAAATAGATAATGCAAAATGTACTCCAGTAAAATAGGAATTTTGGATTATCTTTAGACAAACTCTATTTGTCCAGAAATATACAGACCGAAAGCCATAATTACAAAATAAATAAAACATCAGACAATAATTGAGCTCACTGGCCACATTTAAGAGAATGTAACCCATCTTAGTGCTTCCTTAATATATTGCTTTTCTATCATTTTGCCAATGTATTATTAGTTCTATGAGATCTATTTCTTTTAAAAAAGAATGGAATCTAAAATATGTACATTCACATAGATCCCAAATAAACTAACCTGTGATTAAAGATAACACTTTTCTAACTATCATAGATTTTGGTGCCTTTTGTATCAGATAAGACTGCATAAGCACATGTTATAGGCTGAGTAAAATGACCTGATCTGATAAGAATTCTGGCTTTTTTCAAATTCAGTTCACATTGTTGTGTCTATCTTTTAGATGCTCAACTGGCTGCAGGATATATGAAAAAGGTCATCAGATATCATTACCATCAAAAATTTGTGCAACATTGTTCCATCAATTTAAACACAATAGCATCACTGCCTGTTTTTTTGATGAAGCCAAGTTTTCTTGCTATTTATTTTTGTAATTATGCATCTTATTTTCTTGTTTTAACTGTTAGTCATTCTGAATGATCACTCCAAAAATACATCAAATAAGTTAATTAAAAAAAAATCAAGACATTACGGGAATTAAATGTTATAAACATCTGAAGATTCAGATACAACCACATCTACTGATTTTAAGCAAATCTGGACCTTACCACTACCTTTATATGAGATTATCTTAAAAACTCTTACTTTTAGCCTCTATACTTCTTGCAATAAAAAGGCAATAATTAAAAACAACGAAAATAACAGTATTTCATGTATTCTGATGCCGGATTGTTCTCTTCAATGAAGAAACCACACAGACGTACCTAGCAGTGTCAACACGCAAGCCAGGATTGCTATGAGTGCTCCAGTACTAAGTCCAGCTGGTAAGATGTAGGCCTCTGCATTACATGTTTGGGCAATGCCATGTGCATCACAGTCACAGACTCGAATCGTGAGTGTATTGGTGCTACTCAGCGAAGGAGAGCCACTGTCTAGAATGAATATTGGCAAATAATAAACCGACTGTTCTTGCCTCCGAAAGCTATTTCGTCTGGTGAGTATAGATGCTGTATTGTCTAGATCAAGGAAAAGACAAAAGGAAGATAAAAACATTTTCTTAAAGAAAAAAAGTCTGGTTTTTTAGATTAATTTTAATAGTATCTTAGCTTGGCAATGTAAATAAATATGCCTCATAATTTGAAAGTACAAAGCACAGTCCCTGGAAGTAAGCATATAGATTGCAATGGCCCTTTGTAAATAGTTAATAAAAAGGTTTATTCCTAATCTCTCATTCTTATATGCTATTTGAACTATGAAAAACCTTCCGCGTTTCCTGATGGCAGACTTGAAATTCTAGGTATTAATACAACAGCACAAGAAAGACAATAGAAAAGGTTAAAAGTTCTTGCTTCAACTGTGCTAAGGATAGTGAAAAAATGTCCTTAAATATGTTGTTAAAATACAATTCCCAGCAACCCCAGCCAGTTAATGATTGGATGCTGCATGTTGTAATTCAGTAATACTTAGAGAGCCATAATTTCTATCCATGACTTATGCCCATTATAATTGGCTCAACTGAGATATAGTTCCACTCCAACATGTTCAAATTAAACCACCTTGGATTATGTACTTGGGTCCTGATATCAGATGCAAGTATGTACTGCAAATCACGGATCATGACATATATTTTACCACGTATTGCCTCCTGGTTCATGTTCCTCTTTTTAGACCTATGGTTCATGTTCCTCTTTTTAGAAATGCAGGGACTAAACATATAAACTGTAGAATGCATGTAAGAAAAATAGTGAGGAGATGTGCTTTCCTGTGAGAACAGAAAGGATTTCCCTTTGTTAATGAGAACTGAGATTATGTTAGCACTCAAGAAAATCACATATTCTCCAAAGATCATCCCAGTGTCCAGTTAAGAGTTCATTATGCCACTTTTTAGGATTTGGGCAGATGTATTATATAGAATATTTGGACCAAATGCTACTAGGTCACTTTTGACTCATTTTGCATGGTCTTTTCAGGAGTGTTCTCCAAATGGCTTGATCCAATTCATAAATGCCGGTAATTACTGTATACTGCAATTATGCTGTCAGATATAACTAAACAGAGGTAGAATAAGTAACCATTTTCTCCACTTGCTTCAACTTGTCTTCGGTGTTATGGGATTGATCCTCTTCAAGCAGACCTCTACATTTTGCAAGAATTATTCTTGGCTGTCCACTTAGGTGCTACTGTAGATCCAAGAGACTGAAGTTAGAGCTCTTATACGAAACTATTTTTAAAACCTAACTTTCAGGTAGGCAAGCAGGCAGGCAGGAGGCCCAGAAGCATCAACAAATGTAGCAAAGTAAAAGAAGTTTTAACAAAGCTGCCAGCCTTTGGCACCATTAAAATTAAAAAGAATCAGACAGCTTTTGTTTACTATGTGTAAACCAGATTCTTTCACTAATGAAATCTGATTTTGAAGGGAAAATTGCCCATTGATTAAAAAAAAAAAAACACCACTGCCTATTGTTGGTAAGTTGCCCATGGTTAACAAAACTACATAACAGCTTCCTTTTTTTTTTTTTTTTTACTTTACTTCAACAGAATTACTGTTTCCCTGCTATTCTGGGTTTCGGTGGCAAAGATCTCCCTTAACAGTTTTGGCAGGAATGCTACATTTGTTTAATATGGGAGAATAAACCCGGTAGTGTCAGAAGCAAGAGTACGCGTAAACTGTTCATAGTAAAAGGACTAAGTAATAATCACAATTGCAATGCTAAATTGGAAATGAAATAATAATAGCCTCAACTACCTCCCTATTGTTCTCTAGAGATTATCCCCAATTGATCCCTTCTCTGTAAATACAATAATAAATAGGGAAGCTATTGGCTTTCTTTATGATATATACTTTTATCTTTAAAATCAGTTGATCCCAAGGTGTTTCTCTGACTGCTCTTAGACCTTAAAATTGTAATCAAGTCATAATATCAGATCAAAGTAATTTTGGCTTTCTTCTTACCATTCCCCTCACCCATGGGAAAAAATCTTTTTTAAAAAACTGAAAGCAAGACACATTTACTGTAATCATATCCTTATGTGACTTGGACTAAAAATAAACTCGTATTCTCTGTTTAGATTAATCAAGTGAAAATCACTTGATCTTGCCTGCTGCATAAGGCAGTGTTATTAAAGCACGCACATGCACAAAACACAATCAACTAACCAACCAAAACCTTAAATACTTTATAAAACAAATCTATTTATAAGCCCATCTTCTTTTCTTTATATTGTGGGCAAGTTAAAGTTGCCAAGAAAAAAAATGCAGATTGGATTTTGGACAGTAGTCAATGCCTTTTTTTTAAGGAAAGTTCCAGTAGCCTTGGAAAAAAAGCACTAGTTTGCCTCTTCAAGAAATCTGGCTTAGATCCACAGTGATGGACTATTGTCTTATATCCAAACTTCCTTCTTGGTTAGGTTATGGCAAAGTAGTAGGATGCCAAAAACAAAGATTCTGGAAGGTAGGGATTATGTGAACTCTTGGCAGTAGGAATGCAAGCCAGGAATGGATCAGAAACTGCATAAATTGCCCTCATTGGTATCCTATAATTAGATATATATGATGAAAAAGTAACCAATATTGCCCTATTAGATGTTTTTCCACTTTCAGTTATGTGAATCACAGAAAATTTATGGGCTTCACTGAGAGCTGGGAGTGGGCGGGACTATTGGCCAAGATTCCACCTCTTCCTGAGCAGGCAAGTGGTGAAAATTAATCCCAGGAGAATATTAATATGAGGTTCCCAGGGCTTATTTCTCTTCCTCATCTTGTCTAACATCTACATGGATGAGATGATCTGTTAGTATGGAGTCAGGTATCATCAATATGTTGATGATATACTGATGAGTCAGTTTTATACAGAATCAGATTCAACCCAAGCAAGACAGAGTGGCTTTTGGTTCAGAATCTACTTTGGCTGTTCTTGAAGTTCCACTCCCCTGAAAATGCAGGCTTGTACTCCAAGGGATCCTTCTGGACTCCAGGTTTCTGCTGGAGAAGCTGTGAATACTATGTCAAGCTATGGATACTTAATAATAATAAAGTTGGAAGGGACCTTGGAGGTCATCTAGTCCAACCCCCTGCTCAGGCAGGAAACCCTATACCATTTCAGACAAATGGCTGTCCAGTCTCTGCCAAGTAGTTTTGATGTTGCTAGAAATGTACAGACTGAAAATGTTTCCTTATGCTCTTGCTATTTGCATTTGTATTTGCAATTTACTCAACATTGGACAACCCTTGAAAACCAAAAAGAAACTTTAGCTAATACCAAATACAGTCATCCTCATGCTTAATGATATTGTATAAACCCACATTTATGGTTTGTTTCCAGATTCAGTTCAAGGTTCCGGTCATTGCCAAGAAAATACTATAGGAAACCATACTTGCCACTCATGGTTTATGCTTAAATTATCAGGACATACTATATATTTAATAAACTTGACAAAATATATTGTTGTAACAAATCTTAGCATGTTCAAATTAAAATTTAAGAAATCAATCTATGTAGTCAGAAGAACATCTATCAGAAAATGATTCATTAATGTGAAAATACTGTATATCTCAAAAATTAAAATGAGTGCAAATGAATCAGAAATGCAAATTTTGAATATTCATTTGTCCTTCACACAAAAATTACATTGCTATCTATTTAAAGAACTGCATTTAGAATCTAATAATAAAATGGCACCTGATTTATATTTGAAAACTGCTATTAAAACTAATACATAAATCAAAGAAATATACACTGAACTCAGTTTCAGTCTTCAGGATCAGGGCTAAGCAGATACAAGAACAATTAATTTTGATAATGGAATATATTTAAGTTCTTCAAATGAGGTCATAGCAATGATTTCAGTTTACATACAAAAATAGATAATGGATTTAATAGATAATGGATTTTTTTTTTAAAAAAACTGCCAGTTTTAATATTTTACAACTAAAATATGTCTTATTTCTGGAAGACTTTGCATTGTATATTCAATTATAGTAGGCATTTATTTTTATTTTATTTATTTTATTTTTATTTATTATAGTTATTTATTAACTATAATCCTCAAGTGGTGGATTGTAAAACTACATATCCAAAAGCCATAGCTGACACCTAAACAAGTTCCTCTTTTGAAAAAAATGTTGAGTGTGGCCCCTCATCACCCAAAACATGTCCATCTTTAAGACAGAAAATCACCAGATTGTCTAGTTTGAAGCACAACTCCGGTTGTCTCAAAACAGAAGTATAACTGATATGGAATGCCTAATAACAATAGAAGAACTGACAGGGAAAGTTCAGTGAGAGGAATCAAAAGGCCAGTGCAATAAAATAGTACAATAGAGCAAGAAATATGTACAGTATAAACAAAAGGGGAAAATAATGCATGCCTTCTTTGATAGGGTGGCAAGTCTACCAAACCTGGAAAGTCAATAATCCTGGAATCAAGGGTAAAGCAAAATGATTTTTCTCCTTCCGAACATCATTTACAGGCCAAGAACCAATATCTTTCAGGAGAATGAGTTAATCACATTCTGTTACTGATACCTGCCTCATGGCTGATACAAAATGTTTCCTCCAGGATTTTTCTTCATCATCCAATATTAAAAAATGAATAAAACAAGATTAAAACTTTGCAAAACAATACTAATATGTACCCATCAGGAATATAGGATTATTTTCAGGAGACTGAAATGACACTAACAGCCAGAAATGTGGAAGTTTTAGCTCTTGCCTCCAATTTATGATTGATGTGACATATATATTGCAAGTAATGTGTGGAAAAATATTTTGTCACAAGTTTTTAAAAGTTTATTTCTGTATTTCTGGAGCCTATAAATGAAAACAATTTGGTTAAGTATTAAGGCACCTGGCTAGAAACCAGGAGACTGTGAGTTCTAGTTCTGCCATAGGCACGGAAGCCAGCTGGGGGACTTTGGGCTTGTCAATATCTTTCAGCTTGACTTAACTCATAGGGTTGTTGTTAGGGGAACATAGGAGGAGGAAGGAGTATTAGGTATGTTCGCTGCCTTGAATTATTTGCAGGATTTTTTTTAAAAAAAATCTACATCTAAATCTGAAGCCCAGTAATGTTAATGCATGAGCCGAGGTGGCGCAGCAGTTAGAGTGCAGTACTGCAGGCCACTTTAGCTGGCTGTGTTCAGCAGGTCAGCGGTTCAAATCTCACCGGCTCAAGGTTGACTCAGCCTTCCATCCTTCCATCCTTCCGGGGTAGGTAAAATGAGGACCCAGATTGTTGGGGGCAATGTAAATATATATATATACATTGCTTACTAGTGTACACCGCTTAGAGAGTGCTTGCACTTAAAACGGTATAAAAGTCTCATAAATAAATAAATAAATGCTCTAAAGCAGGAGTAAGCAACCTTAGCTCTTTTATGACTCGTGGACTTCCTGGCTGGGTCAGGAATTCTGGGAGTTGAAGTCCACGAGTCGTAAAAGAGCCAAGGTTGCCTAGCCCTGCTCTAAAGTATAATTTCATTTAGAAAAAAAATAATAATAAAAAAGTGAAAATATTTAATTTAACAAAGGATTTGAAGCCCATCTGTTTGGTTCCTAGACTGAAATGATTTAACTAACACCTTTTTTTCCCTTGACAGAGGATCTATAGATAAGAAATTACTTTGAGGTATGATGGCTTTTAATTATTATTTTTTTCCTGACGAAGAAGTTACTCTAGGTCAGGGGTGGGGAACCTTGGCTCTTTCGTGACTTGTGGACTTGAACTCCCAGAATTCCTGAGCCAGCATGGGAAGTCCACAAGTCATAAAAGAGCCAAGGTTCCCCACTCCTGCTCTAGGTAACAGTCAGTGTTTAGAGTGGTAGCATGTTTGTTTTGAAATATCCTTAGGCTAGCAATCGTGATTGATACCTTACCTTTATTATCTTGTAATGTGAAGTTGTGGTTGTTTGTGGCATCTCCTGCCAAACTGAAGGAAAACTGATGACCACTAGGCGGGTCATCTCTGTCAATGGCACTGATTCTTTGAATGATCTAAGGAGGGAAAAACATCATCTTCATATCAGATTTTGGGTTGTTTTCATTACAATGTAATTATTTTGTATTAAGAATACATAATTACTCTTAGAGAACATTTAAATAGTAATATGACCTAAAATCTATTCTTATTAAAAGTACTTTTCGGAATCTATATTGAAGGGGTTTTTTTTTAACAGCTCTCCTTGCTGGAAAATAACATGATAAAAAAGACAGGCACTTTTCAATTACTCCCTTGCCATAACATAATATATCAGTAGAATAAATTTTACTTTCTCAGACAGACTTTATTTTTTGAAATTGGCTCCAAGTGGTGGAACTTTTATATCAATTTTTGGGAACAAAAGACAACAAAAGTGTTTTGAAAGGGTTTCTAGAAAGAGGGAAGTAAATTTCCATGTATGTAATTCTTGGAACAATAAAAATGACAAAAATATTCTTCTTTACTTCCTCTTTTGCCACCCTGGGTGTTGAGGGAAAAAAATATTGTTAATTTATAAATTTAACTTCAGGTGAATTAAACAGAAATTATAAGGCCGTTTCAATTCATACTATATCACACATTTTAATGTTGTTATTCTGATCTGTAATCCGGGCCTGTTTAACACTTTTGAGGGCGAGACATTTTCCTGAAAATACTTCCAAAATCAAATTCATATTGTTTTGGGCAATGTTACCATTTCAAAGCCCCACAGAGTAGATTAAATTATTACTTTTAAAAGAAACAAATAGGGGAAATGATAGCTTTGATGGGTTCAGTGATTTTAATTACTTTTAAGAGAAAAAAATACTGTCGGCCAAAGAGATCATTTTTAAAGAAGCTGGCAAATGGTCCATCAAACTAAAAGCTTAAGCTTTTGCCTAAAGGACTTAGCATAAACTCAAATGTTTGAACTCTGTTACCCTGACAGTTATTTTCCCAAGATGTAATAATAGAACTGATTCAAAAATATGTTGCAGGCTTCCTTTTCCACATGACAGGGGAAGACCTTGAAGCTCATGTATAGTCCTTAAAAACCTTGGTAGAACCCCAGTGCCCCTCCAAAAATTCCATGCAAGGTGTATTTTTAAGTAATAAAAGAAACTATAAGTGCATTATAAATAATAATTGTAGTAATTAGTTTAGTACACTTAAATATCAGTCAAGACCTGAAAAACATTAACCTTAAATGGAAGAATGTGGAGGCTGTAACTGCTGACCGAAATTTGTGGAGTACATTTGTAGCCCAATGTACTTAGCACAGGATGTGATAATAAATGTAAATGTTGCTATTTGTCTTGACACTACATATCTCTTCTTCTTAGTCATGCTTTGTAAAATAGGTTGACTCACTCTTTTTTATGGCAACCACTGAGATATAGGACACTGCTATCATGTCATCCCAGATCTTCTTTTCATTAAACTAGATATACCCAATTCCAACATTCAAGTCCCTTAATCATCTTTGTTGCTCTTCTCTGCATTCCGTCTAGAGTCTCAACATCTTTTTTACATTGTTGCCACCAAAACTGGATACAACATTCCTAGTGTGGTCTTACCAAGGCATTATAAATTGTCATTAACAATTCACCTGATCTTGATTCTATCCCTCGTTTAATACAGCCAAGATAGTGTTGGCTTTTCATAAATATTAAAAATAATTAAGGCCCTATTCCTCAAAAAAAAAAAAAAAAAATCCTGTGGAATTCCTAGCAACCTCTCATGGGATACTAATGTTCTTCAGAGCACTTGTTGAGAAAGGGTGATCTAGGGATTTTGATGTGTCCTTAAACTTCCCAGGAAGTATTGTATGAACAGAAGCATTGTATAAAACAGAAACCAGAAATGTCTAAAAGAATGGAAATGGGTTATTTTCATCAGTTAAGAAGTCTAGAAGATGTTCCAAGCTGTGTGTAACGTAGATTCACCTGTAGAGTTTTGCAGTGGGATCTTGGATAATAAAGGTTTCAGACCTAGTTAGTGCTTATTTTAGCTTCAAATCAACATGTCAGTTTTACTGAAATGAATTTATTATGTTTTAACTTAAAAGAGGCATCGCTGTAAATTAAATTATTGTTTTGTAGAAAATATCATCAAGCTGTTTTGAATATAAATCCACACCTGGCCAGGTACTGCATTTTCACAGACTGTTGTTTCATAATCCATGGCAAACTCAGGTGCATTGTCGTTAATATCCAAGATAGTGATGGCCACATATCCCCTCCCAATTTGTGAAGGGTTTTCTGATAAAAAGAACAAAAGGGAATTTTATTATAAACCAAGTCTGCAAGTATCTAATATATTATGTTTAATTGCATTAACAAAATGAAGTTGTCAGTGGAAAAAGAAGTGACAATGACAACAGCAAAATGCAGTAGTTGCAATATCTCATCAAATCAATGATTTATTAGATACGTTCTCCTTTTATTTCCACTACCTCTTATTTACTACTTCAGCTAAATGCAAAGGAATAAACCTGGGTAATCTACCCAGCTTCTTGAATTTTCTAGTTTCAGCTATCACCAGCAGAATCTAATGAAACTACTCTCTTTGACGATAATGTAGGTATTGACATAGTAGTTACACACAGTAAATTCCAATTTGCAGTAACAAAGATTAGTAATAAACCTCTGTTATCCATAATATGTCAAATATAATCCTAGGGTTCCAAAGACTTACATGATCAATCAATTCTATATTGTCCTTTTAATGCCATTTATTAACCAATTTCCTTCCTATCTCTGAATCCATAAAAGTGATTACTGCAGTTTGCATACAACATTAAAATATTAGAGCTGTTTCTACAACAACAGACACACATTTTATCTTATGATACATAGAAGTTTTAACATACAGAGAATTATCATGGAATAGAATAAATATTAATTCTTTGTATTTCTATTTATAGCTAGAAGCTTCCATTGATATAGGATTTGATTCAAACTTGCTTAGCCAATACAGTGAAAATCAACACTTTATAAAGTTTCCATTTTTTAAAAAAATTGGCAACTTACGGCTTTCCATTGCTAAGACAGTAATATTATGAACAGCATTTGTCTCTCTGTCCAATGTCTTTGCTGTAGTAATAACCCCAGTGTTGGCATCAATATTGAAATACCTTTCTAAGTCTGTATTTCGATCTATTGAATACCTGGATGAAAGATGAAAGCAAATTTTTGATGTATGTATAATTGCAGTTTGTTAAAAATGTTTTATTGATTTCACATTAAGGTGAAAGAGTTTTACTATTTTCTCTCTTCGTCTAAATTTTTTTTTGAAGCTGACCTTTTATTATCTTCCTAAACAAAGAAAGTGCATTATACAATGTTATCTGCTTCTGTAAAATGCACTGTGGTAGCTTAGTTCCTATATTCCATAACACTTTTCTTAAGGGAAAAGGGAGATCACAAGCATATTCTTTTTTTTCTGTTATTTTGAGGTTTTTGGGGTGGGCGGATGGGAGGGGATACTCTACATGTGACTATAGTGTAACCATAACAGACAATAAATCTGGAAATCAGCCACTTCATATTAACCCATTCTATTTCCATCAGAGCTTGAGATGGAACACTTTTTAAAAAATTACTTTAGAGGCAGAAAAAGGATGGATAAGGAAATCAGAGAATAAATCAGGGATTATGTATCATCACACTTGCTGCTGGAGTTTGATCGCCATCATACAGCTCAACTTCTTATCACTGTACTCCTTTGGCTTAAACATGCTCCTTTCTTCCTCCAAATTCTTTTGAAAGAAAATGTCAAAGCAAAAATAAACAGCAAAGAAGAAAGAGAGATTATCCAAATGCTCAATGGTGCGGTTACCCTCATTGTGAAAAGCCATATCCTTTGAGATTCATTACAAATGCTTCCAGACTTGGGTATGTTGACAGGATAATAAGATAACTCTAAATCATGTTCCTGCCATCACAATAAAAGTATAAAATCAGAGTTCTCACACACTGGTAGTATGAATCATTCTACATAAAGCTTTTTTGTGTGCAGGGCAGTACTTCAAGAATGACAAAGAGCTTGTGGCATGATTTAAACAGTAGTGGAGTAAATGGCTTAACTAGAATTTTCCACAGAATCCATAATTTGATTTAAGTTCATCGGGAAAGTGAGCAAATAAAGAAAAGGAGTAATTTAGGAGGATGGCAATAACACTATAATTGATTAAAACAAATGAGTACAGAGAGAGATATGACTCTTTCATATAAGTTCCAGAGCTTTACTAATTATAATGATGTTATCATTTCAGAATTTTCATCTCTTTTCGTCATGCAGCAATGGGAGATACAAATGGCAGAGAAATGTAGACCTTTCATCAGCTAGTTCAACAATCCTGACAAAATATTGAATTTTATAAAACCATGGTTTGCAAAAGAATATCCTTCTATACATATATTTTTTCTACATTCTGCCAAAATTATTCCTAATCAAATAAAATGTAGATATATGTCAAAGCAAAAACTTCAGTTAACTTTTGATCAAAAAGATGGATATTTAAGAGTTAGGATATGAAATTGGTTGCAGGTAGCAGCCATCCAGTTGATATTTTAATATGGAAATCTACATCTGTGGCTCAGTCATAAAGATTATTTGAAGATTCAAGAAAATGATCTTTTTATGTGGAACAATAATATATTGATCTTGCAGGATTTTAAAAAAAGGGAGATTGGAATATAGAGAGAGACTCTTTACAAACTGACTAGCATAGGTAACAATGAGCTTTTGTCATATTTTTTTCTTATTATTATTGCAGTTTTAAAAAAGAACATTACAGAAAAGTAACTAGGGCAACTGGATTCTTACAATAACTTGCATTAAAATTTTGCAAAAAGTTCTACAATTTTCTTATTTTGCAACCTTTCTTGCGGTTTGTTGACTCAGCTTTCCATCCTTCCAAGGTCGGTAAAATGAGGACCCAGATTGTTGGGGGCTATATGCTGACTCTGTAAACTGCTTAGAGAGGGCTGTAAAACACATATATAACTCTAAGTGCTATTGCTATAGCTAAAAGTCAGATGAAGTCATTTTGCCTTCATTTTACAAAACAGAAAGATAGGGTCCCAAAAACATAAAGAGTTTATGAAATAAAATTCAGATTCCAATCTAGAGTATATTCTGTTTGGGCTCCTGTCTGTTGTGGGAAGATTTTATTTTTGATCATCTTAACATATGAGTTACAATAGAAGCTTTCTCTCATTCTGCCTTAAACGTATAACTATTATCAGAAATACTGCTGTTATCGTGTATACTATCATGTAGAGGGATTAAATTACTTGAGACATTCTGTTTTCAGTTACAGCATTCTGATTCCATTTTTCCTACTCTTCTTTTAAGCAGTATCATATAAGTAATAAACACAGTGCTCTTGAGGTTTTAATACTGTAATTCATAACCTCATTTATTTTATGCTTGTGAATTATTATGTTTCTTGACTTAATGAAAATGCTCAATTTTTTTTAAAAACATACATTGACTGGGTAACATGCAGTAGCAGGTTGCCATAATTTCCAATCCATATGTGCTGGATTTGAATTCTCATAACCACATACAAGATTGTAAAAATATGTTTTTATACCTACAAAGCTTTAATATCCTTTTCCCCATCCTTTGAATCACTTGCGCTTTGCTGAACTTTTCTTTTTTTACAGGAATGTATCTGTGTAAAAGCTTAATTGGTATGGTTTGGCTTGCTTTAAATTCTCCCACTAAGGATATATATGAATGCCAAACTGGTAAAACTCTTCACGTTCGGTAATAGAGATATTGTTGGTCAGCTTCATAACCTAATCATTCTTGATAGACCATGTAGGTGGAATTTAATTTCTGGTCAACTTTTAACCCTTTAAGTTATTAAGTCTACTATTATTCAATGCTGCTAATAAACAGTCGGAATGGAAGCCATTTGTGTACTTTCTTGAAAACCATTCAACTGATTATGTAATCTAATAACATTGTTTCAAGCATTTTGTCCTTATCCTTTTCAAAACAGATATCAGTTTTGGCTCAAATAAAACACTAGAAATCTGGCATGTCTAAGTTATAATTGCATAGCTATCAAGCCCTTTCTGCTCTTCATTACATTCAACATTAAATTATTTTGAAGAAGTTCGTTTTCAGCCAATCTAATGCCACAAACTAAAATACATACATTCACACACAAAATAAGTACATCACACACACTATACCTATTCATATACATATGAACATTTTTGAAAAATAAATACTGAAGCAATATCCAGGAGTGATTTTGTTTCTAGAAATAATCTATTTGTGAACAGTGTTTGATATAATTTAGAGAGAACAAAAGTGGATAATGAGAAATTCTTGTCATCTATGGAATATTTCCCCCAGATTTCATTTATGATGCATATTGTCTCTCTCCCTGTATTGTACAAATGCCACAAAACCATTGCAATGTAGTCTAGAATACTGATGAAGTAGTATTTACCTATTTAAATGTTTATAAATTGCTGTGCTCCAAAGAATTAAACCTATTTGCAATTACAACAGAAAAACAAATTAATATTATGCAGATTTAGCTGCTTCCGTCTCTTAACAGCTTAGTGAAGCTGTTTAAAAAGATCTTTGGCATTCCCTGCACAGTCCTTGTTAATATACTTGTACACAATTTCACTGACATTAAGTGAAATGGAACCTTGTTTCACTTGACCAAATAACTACCATGTTTTCTCTGTCTCTGTCTCTCACACAGAGAGAGAGTGGGGTGGAGAAGAGAGAGAAAGAAAGATTCACATGTGTGATTGTAGGTACATATGTGTGGCTGTTTAGGAGATACATTTTGTAGCATCCTTCCCAGTTTCTTAAGAACCGTCCTGGTCTTCAACTTTGGGATTATAAAGGAAGAAAATAAAGTGAGAGAATAAAGTTGTTCCTCCAGCTGAACTGACAGAAGTGAAAAATCAGCACTGGATTCTACCAAAGACCTTGTACTTTCAAATATTCCTGTGAGGAAAGCAACATATAACAGGAATAAATAAATGAAAAGAATAAACAGTTGAATACCCTGAAAATGAAAAGAAAAACTGGAAATGAGCTATCAAATTACCTGACAGGACTGTTAGATGCATCTGGATCATGGGCTGCTACAGTACCAATAATAGTGCCTACTTTAGCTGCTTCAGATACCACCATGCTGTACGAAAGTGAACTAAACATGGGTGGTTCATCTACATCCTCCACAATAATCTTGACTGTTGTCACATCATTGAATGGTCCAAGGCTTAAGAAGCGGGCATCTACCTGCTTATTTGCTGCTTCAATTCTCAGTGTGTAGCTGGTCTTTGTTTCGTAATCCAGCTCCTAGAATGGCAAAGTTCAATTAGCAAAGACTTTGACTTAAGACTCCCAGGAATACACAGGTTTTTCCCATCTTTGGATACAAAAATGTCAAGTCTTTCCAACAGCCCTAACAACTTTATATACAATAAATGTTTACAACTCCAAATGAGATTTTTACAATCAATGCAAGATACTTGGAATATGGTATTGAGAAGTTATGTGGGAGAGAACTGGAGTGAAATGGACGTATTTCCAAGATGAATGATTCTGCTGCTTTCAGTCCCATATCCATTACACAGATGAATGTCCTATAAATGTAAAGGATTGTGGAGCCATGTAGAAATTTCTAACCTCTAGAAACTTTTATAGGAAAACTTTCCATTAAAATGGCTGCATGCTGGAATAATAGTATTACATAATGTGGGTAATAGTTTGTACTGAGAATTGAACCACATTTGTTTTCATTGTTAATTTTCTGAGTTACTATATATAACAGTCTGAAATAATCAAACCAATAATATGTATTAGTATTACTGCTGGATGATTTCCTCTATTTTTACATACCTATGAGTTTGTTTTGTGTGGGGTGGGCAAACTAGTAATTAGATACATTCCAAACTACTACTAATAAATAATTACATGCATAATCATATTTTCTGAATATGCAGAACTGTGTTTGAATGATATAAATCAGTTGCATGAAAACTGATTGAAATACTGCTAATCTCAGAATCAAACATGAAAATCAGATTGATTAAGAATGCTGATCACCGTTACTGAAATTCAGAGTATTATAATGGAAGAAACTGACAAAAACAAGTTGCATGACAGACAAGGTCAGATCTGAGAACACAGATTCAGTTGTTCGACAGCTTGCTTTTTCAGTTCACGGTCATTGAGCACATTCAGAAAAGACAGGCACCAACCTTTATGGTTCCTTGTGGATGTGTCTGCATATGCTGACTTCTCCCCATGCCCTACAAGAGTGCCAATGACTGTGGATACCTTGTTTAGAGTTTTAAGATTCTAGTATCATCTCCTAGCAACTTTCACCTGCCATTATAGGGAAGCAAATCTAAACTATGTGAAGGACTTTTTTTTGTTAGTCTGATTATGCATATCTGCTCTTCTATGCTACTACTACCATGTCTTAGAAATAATTCGTGATAGATCTAAAGCACACAAGCTGATAATAAACAAAGGAAATGAAATGTGCCATACCTAGAATTTCCTATTTTGAGTAACGTTTTTATGTTTTCCTCTTTTGAATCAGAATAGGGTTTTTTTCTTATCTCTTATTATTACTGGTATTGCTGTGCACTATCTGGAAAGGTCTTGAAAATTATCTAAATACTAAAATGAATATACTTATTTTAATATCTGAAATGCTAATCATGAAACCCACTTAATGACTCAGTCCATTAGAAAGCAGTCGGAGCACAGCATTATAGCAAAATATGAAGATTCATCACTTCAGAAAAGAATATCATTCTCTTAGATATTTTTCTTCCTCCTTCAAAAGCTCTATGTAGAAGATAGGGCACATCACATGAAATAAAAGTGGTGAACTTTAATACACTGAACAATAAAGAGGTCATGGAGGCAGAGGTTATTTCAACCTCAGCAGACCTTTAGTCTTGATACAGGTAATTTTCTTTTCAAATGTTCTGAGACCAAAATAAAACACATTTCCAATGAGAGTTTAGTTTCAAAATCAGAATAAAATATGGGAGCCATTTCAAGTTTTTGTTCTTTGAGGATACACTAAACTTAGAATGTTCTTAAGTGAGGGATTGTTTTGTTCTGAACTTAAAATAAAATGTTTCCCATTTTGTACATACCCCTAATCATATGCTTCAGCATAATCTTATTCATACTATAGTAAGTTATGATCATGGTGCCACACCTTTATTGTAGCTTTTAGTTTGTTTTAATCAGAGTTTTGACATAAACCCAGTCCATTTCTATAACTACTATATGTTTTTATAACAAATTTAATGTACATATGAGGAAGTGTAATATTTCAAATTATCACAGGGACTGTTCCAACTCCATTAAGAGATTCCAGGACAACACTAAAAGCTTCTCACCAATGGTGTACTATCTAACTTCACCATTGTTAAATAATGAAATGCATAAATTTCCATATTATTCTGTCTACTGAACAGTCATTTGACAACTGGTCACCTGGGACACTTTCATATTCAGCAAATTATTTGGATAACACTCCAAATAGCCACACATTTTCAGAGACCATCTCTCCCATGTTTTTGCTTGGCCCACCATATCTAGCAGAAAGAGCGTGTTCAGAATCCTTTTCAAACAGTGTCATCTTTTTGCATCTTGGAGATACGTCTTCATGAGACAGTGCCTGCCCTATGGAAAGTATCCCTCTGAAAATACAGACGGCCTCATCCCTCTTAGCTTTTCATAAGATCCTAAAGACTGGCAGTTTCCCGAGGCAATTGGGCCAGGAGGTTAAGCATGCTCTGCTGGTAATGTGATTTTGTGTGTGTGTGTGTGTGTGTGTGTGTGTGTGTGAGATGAGGTTATAATTTTTTGTTTTTTGTTTTAATCATTGTACACTATCCATATAAGTTATTCTTATGAGATGGGTAGCCATTAATTCAAAATCATATGATATAATAATAATCAGAGCCAATTTGTTGTAGCGGTTAAGGCATCAGACTAGAAACCGGGAGACCAAGAGTTCTAGTCCCACCTTGGCACAAAACCAACTGGGTGATCTTGGATAAATTTCTCTCTTAATGCTAGAAAGGAACCAATGGCAAAGCACTTTCACACAGTTGCAGATCAGTAGAAACTACTCAGCACAATTGGTACCATTTTCTCACTGCACCAAGTACTGCTGACTGGAGAAAAGGAGAGGTTGACTTGATTTGGTAGATGGGTCTTTCAGACTCAATTGCTGATTTTAAAAAAATTGATCTAAAATAAGCACCACATTGATTTCCTTGTGTATAGCATTATTGTAACATCCTTGGATGCATATTATGTTAGAAAGCAAAGTAAATTCAAATTAAAGCAATGAAGATACTTTGGATTATAATGTAAAGGTACCACTCCATAAACATTTTTCTATTTAGCTTTGAATTAAAATGATTTATGTACTTTGATACTAATGATCATTGAGCCAGTCTTCGGATTACTATGACTAAAATATGGATTTGTGATATAATAGCAAACTAACAATTCACAAATTGTAACAACTATCCTGAAGGTTAAAGGGACAATTCTAATTCTTTAGTACAGTGAATAAAGCTTGAAGGCTTGATTAATATCTATGTGCTAGTTTTAGCTCTTTAGATCCTCACCTCATCTAAATTTCCAGCGATCAATATTAAGACTCATACAGATAAAATGATAAATTTTAAATAATGTAATTTATATCATATTCCCATTTGCAAACTAATGCAGGATATCTCTGAATATTGCTCAATCATGTTAAGATGTTTGAATTAGAATTTTGCTTCATTTTATTAATCATTAAAATTTAAATACTACTAAATTATCTAATAAACAACTGAGTCCTGTACTGCAGAAATGCATTTTTAACATTTTTAGACAAATTGTTCTTGGGTCATATAAACATATTTTGTCTATTTTTCTGTAAATTTAAGTGGAATTTACAGCAATATGATCACCTTTCTTTCTGCACCTTTTATTAATTTCTACAATTGTAAAAAAGCAAAAACAGTGCATATACTAAAATACATTTTAGTAAAATCATATATTCTAGATAAATATTTCATCTATTATTGAATGACTTACTTGAATCCCAAAACACACACACACAAAATAAACCAATCTTACCTTTTGTATCATAATAATTCCTTCTTGCGTCTCCTTGTCCACTAAAATTTTGAAAACACCCAAACCATCACCATCCACAATCTTATATTCCATTTCAGCATTAGCCCCTACATCGGCATCTGCAGCCTTTAATCTAGCCACCATTGAGGCCAAAGGGAGTGATTCTGGAACATTATATTGGTATGATCCTATAAAATTAAAAGTGATTAGTGAATCTTTATGGTTCATAGATCTTTTAATCTGTGACCTTCCTTATTAACAGTAAACCGTAGATAGAAAATGAGGACAGCTTTGAAGCAATGCATTTTGTTTCTATAAGCCCATCTATGGTCTTCTGCATCCTTTACTCCATTACTCCTTTATTCTATACTACCATGTATAAATACAGCATGGAAAAAATACATAACTCATCCAGAATTTCTGTCTAAAATGCAGAATTCCCAGGAATAAACACAAGCAGTTTTTACTTCTTAAGGGAAAAAAAAATGGAAGTGGGGGATATCCAAGTATATAACAGCAGTATTCTCTGTTCTGGACTCTCAGTAGGATTTAATTATATAAGAAAGGTAGTGATCTGTCCCTTGACAGTGTACACTAAAGCTACAATGAACATGAGATAATATTTTTGTTGATTTATTGACAGTTCACTGGAATGCCACAATCAACTCTTATGCATAATTTTCAGAATAAAATGTGAAAGCTATTGACTTTTGCGACGGCATTTTCTGCTCTTCTAATTCAGTCTATATTTCTTTGAGAACAATGATGCACAAATTCATTGTTGAAAATAATATATAACTTAATGTTTTTGTCAAAGGGGAATCTACTTCCAATGAAATTTTAGCTTCTATAGGTCTCAAGCCACTAAAGGAAAATAATAAATGAATTTGTAGGATCACAGATAAATCTTTATTGTGTCTTAAGGAGACAATTTTTTCATGTCAAATAATTGAGACAAATTCTAGTCTTGCACTGTATTGAATTTTCTGTGGATCAAACTGAAATTGATCAGATTACAGTTTAAGAAAACAGAAACAGATACCACAATTTTTCCACTTCTGGAAACTGAATAAAACCACATTTTATTATTTGTCTAAGTAATTTAAAATGGGGGTAAAATAAAATTTCCACTTTCTTTTTCACTTGTAAAGAAGCTAATTTGAACAATTTGTATATATTCTCCATATTAAGGTAACTTTCTTTTGCAATGGGACTATAAGAAAAGCAGGGAAATATAATATTGTTGAAAAATAGGATAACTGAAATGTGGAAACAGATTTCTTTTTCTTTTTTGATTTAGCCATGGAACGGAAGGCAGACTGTTTCTGGTTTTTCCCCATATTGATTTTTTTCCTTCCTTCCTTCCTTCCTTCCTTCCTTCCTTCCTTCCTTCCTTCCTTCCTCCCTCCCTCCCTCCCTCCCTCCACCTTCCTTCCTTCCTTCCTTCCTTCGAATAAGAGATCATAAGAATGAGTATCAAGGGAAAACTAGTTTTGAGACTTTTTGGTTTTCAAAATATAAGTTGTTACAAATATTAGGGAGTTTTGAAATTAAAGGCAAAGGCAAATATCAGTGGTTACACTGTTGGATAATAACCAATTCAAAGTAGAGCATGAGTGACAATTTATATTTGCTTTATATTCCATAATAACTTTTATTATTATCATTGGCATTCCCCATTTCTCTAAATTCATGTCTTTCCATCTTCAGTGGCAATTAATAGGTATGAATCCTCAAAGAAAATATATTTGGATGATTCAAGGAAACATTAGGAACTCTACATTATCAGGATTTATAAAAAAAATATCCAGCTATTGTCTGGAATCAGCATTTTCTATTAAGAAACAGCTAAAGAAGCTGAAAGAAATTTAATTCATAATTTTAATCTTTGTCCAAAATTAATTCCAGCCATTAAGTAGCTGAATTTTAGCCATTCTAAGTAGCATATCCATATAAATTTGTTACTGTGCAAATTACCTTTAATTATCACCTATAGAAACTTACTGCGGGGAAATCGTGGTGGATTATCATTGACATCAGTCAGGGTAACAGTGACAGAGGTGGTTCCAGAAAGACCCCCATTTTGACCAACCATATCCTTGGCTTGAATGACAAGCAAATATTGGTCTTTTGCTTCTCGGTCCATATTGGGAAGCGCAGTCTTGATAATACCTAAAGTATAACAAAATAGTACATAAAGTAGTGGTAACTATCTTGTCAGTTGCTAAGCATGGACATACAGCAGCAACATTTGTATTTGTATCCCCTATTTTCCCAAAACATAATATAAAATTCTGAACTACCATGACTTAAATTATCACATATTTTAGTGAGCATCATTCAGAAAGTATTAACTCTAGGCAGGCCCACTTATGTCAAATGATCACTAATTTTAAATATCCAGCAAAAGATACAGAGTCTTTCTCTTGCCCAGTATATGGCATGACCAAATGATCATCAACCTTTTACCTCCAGGAACTACAGGTAGTCCTCAGATTATGACCACAGTTTATGTTGCTAAGTGAAACATTTGTTAAGTGAGTTTGCCCCATTTTATGCCACAGTTGTTAAGTGAATTATTGCATTTGTTAAGTTAGTAACATGGTTGCTAAGTGAATCTAGCTTCCCCATTTGACTCTGGGACACTGCAGCCATCATAAATATGAGTCAGTTGCCAAACATCCAAATTTTGATCATGTGACCATGGGCATGCTGCAAGGGTTGTAAGTAGGAAAAATGTTTATGTTACCCTTTTTTCAGTGCTGTTATAACTTTGAACAGTCAGTAAATAAACTGTTGTAAGTCAAGGACTACCTGTATTTTTAAGCCCAATCAGGTTTATCAGTCCTACTTCACTGTTGCCGATTTTCTTGCTAGCGTTATTTCTTTTGTTTCACTCTTCCATGACATTATTTGCCTTTCCCATACTTAATGTTCTTTCTTTCTCTATGTTTTAAATGACAGATACACCAGCTTTTTTAAAACTGAGGGTCACCTGAAATATCCCACTGGATGGGGCTGGGACAAAAAAGTAGATGTGATTAGGACAATTTAATATTAAAACTAAATTTTTCAAAATACAGTCAATATGACCACTTCCTATGTATTTCATATTTTCCCTTTGTCATATTAACATATTGTATGCCACTGCTTTAATAACATTAAAGAAAAATAAAATAATGATTCATAAAACGACCCAGACTTGCTTGGTTGTGAACCCAATTTAGGTTACACCAGTTAAAAGACCAACACTGCACATAATACATTGTTTTTTAAATTCATATACTTAAAATTAAATTCTTATAACTAAGTAGAATGTTTTCAATATAACTAGAACTGCTAAGAATACTATGGAGCAACAAATTGCCATATTTTAGATGTCATTACATATGTCCAAATCAATATGTAAATGCAGCTGAAGAATATGAGAATAGCTTCCTGGGCCAACATTCTCTTGTTCAATATTCTGTGTTATATAATGTCCACCAGGATGTATTCAGGAAGTTCTGAAGTACATCATGATTCCCATTCTTTAAAAGTTGAAAAAATTGCAGTGCCTGAAACCATACAATTATCGTCTATGCAGTTAAACCATAAGTTGTATAATCATAAGGAAAGAGTACTGTTATTTGCTCCAAATTCAAAATCTGAACACTCAATGGATTTCGGAATGCATTATTGCACAAGCAGTCAAAATGTACAGTTCCAATATTATGCAAAGCTAATAGCAATAAGGGGTGGTGGTTGAAGTTTTGGGGGAAAAAATGGAAGGGACTTCGTAGTCCTTACATTTTAAATGCCCAAATTCCAAAAGACTATCTTATTTCTATAATGTTAAAAGCTTCTGTCAAGAACATATGGCGACAGCTCAGAGACAAACCATAAAATGGTGTGGAGACTTTGGGTACAATGAGTTACTGTTCACAAATGGATTATCCTTGGTATAAAAATTATTTCATTTTTAAGGTAGTCATTGGATATAGCAAATAAATCCTTGTCTCAATCTCTGAGATTTTCACTATTCAAAGTTGCTTGTTTTAAGGCTTTTCTAGTAATTTGTAAAAAAAAAAAAAAAAAAAGAATAAGATCACATGATGGGGATATTGCAAGCTACTATTGTATCTTGAGTTTTTCCAATGCTACAATGTAAACAGAATGGAACTAATAAAAATTAGGTAACCCTGTCAACATCTAATGGCAAGAAACTGCAGGAGTTGCAATTCCCCTCAACAAAAGAAAGAAAGACATTAATTTCCTATTTCCAGTATAATCTGTGCACAGACTGATTTGTTAAACAGAGATAGTCAAAGCCTTTTTCTTTGCCATTGAACTGACAACATGGAAGAATAATACCATTTATCATTCTGTTTCCAAACTCCCATGCTGCCAAAATGAGTTTCTTAAGAATCCCAAACCGTAAATGACCCAGTACAATCTTGGTACTATTAATAATCTGGTGCCATGCTGTGCATTTAAATGAAGCTATTCTAAATTTGCTAATATCTTAAAAATAAAACAAAGCAAAATTACTCACTATAATTAGAGAACTCTGATGTAGTAGCTGAAGCACTGTATTGTCTGAAGCTGTTTTAGAGCTATCCATTTGGCCATCTCTTTGTCACTTGTAATTACTCTTTGAAATTTAAAAGAAGAGGGAAGAAAGGAACAGAACAACTGTTCTGTTACCATTCAACTGTGCAGATAAGCATTGGGTAATTAAATATCCTTCCTTTAACTAGGAAGGTTTTCATATTGTTGTACAGTACAGCAGGCAGAGATATAAGATTTTATCTCACCATTGTTCCATGTCACCAGTTGAGAAAAGACAAAATATATGATCAGCTAAGATGTAGTGGCCTTCTGTATCATCCTTAATATTTGTAATCCCCAGCTCCAGAAGTACTTTTTTCTTCTTCTTTTGAATTTAAAATACTCCCACCCTTGACCAGAATGTATTGGAACTTCACACAATTATAGCTAATCTTCTTTATAATTTTAAATTCATTGAAAATCATTACACAATTTAATTATTATTTATGTATTTATCAAATACATTTCTATCCGACCGTTAAATGACTCTTGGAAGATTACACAGAACATTAATAAACATCTACCATACCATCTAAACCTTGATGCATGACAACAATAACAACAATGTACCATCTATAGCAAATACACACAAGAATAAATCAAAATTAAAAACCAAAGATAGCATCACAAAAAAGTTTAAGGAAAAGCCCTCTAAAACATTTTTTTAAAATGTTAACAGGGAGGAGGGCTGAAAGCAGAAACTTCTTGCTTCGTCCCCAAAACCTCCTGAAAATGTGGGATTTGTAACAGATATTGATTTAACTCATCACTGAGAAAAAAGCAAAATCAATACAAGACATTGCCTTCAATCCTTGTCCCCTGCAAGTGTTCCAGAGAAATACATTGGTCGGTGGAACTGAAAAGTATGAAGAGGCCGAATAGGATCATGAGAAGTGACAACCCCTCTCCAGGCCTCAACATAGGTCATCCAAGAAAATGAGCAATGTTGTCTCTGTCCCATATTCAGGCCTGGAAAAAAAAAGGTAAAGGAGTCCCTGGGGATTTTACTCTGCTAGCCATTGCTGACTATAAGGGGCAGTTCTGCTCTCCATTTCAAGGCCATTGAGACAATGCTGTCCAAAGATATTTCTTTGGTCATGTGGCAGCATGACATCATGGAGCACTGTTAGCTTCCCACCAACGTTGTACCTATTTATCTACTTGTATTTGTATACTTTCAAACTGCTAGGCTGGCAGGAGCTGGGGCAAAGATGGGATCTCACCCTGTCATGTGGAGTTTGGGTCTCAAACCTGGGCTGCCAGCTTTCCAGCCAACAAGCCTGGCTTTTTAGCCACTGAGCTATTGCACCGGCCATTTAGGCATGAACTCAGACTGAATAGGGTCCCAATAATTTGTTTCCCTTAGGTGTTCAAAGTTGATTTACCAGTATCAACTTCATTACGCAACACAGTGGGATCCAGGAATGGTCTTCTTAGGTCTTTGGCAAATAATAATAATAATAATAATAATAATAATAATAATAATAATAATAATAATAATAAATAATAATAATAATCAGATCTTCTTGGAAGCAGTCATTCTTCTGATAAGTTGAAAGAAAGAGAATAACTTAAAGTTATAGACAGGCAAACCTAGAGGTATGAGCTGAATAAATCTATGAGCCCTCATAAAACATTGCTCCTACTTCAGCATGCTAAACTTTTATGTGCTTATTTCGAGAAAAGTGAAAATGGATATTTGTGTTGCTTTATGGCTTAGAGAATTGTTACTACTAAGATCAGCAAGTGCAAATTAATATTGATTGCCCCCTCGCTCAGGAAAACAAAGTGAAATGTGGAAGAAATAAAGTGAAATGTTATTATGCTCTCTATCCAAATACTTTTCTTGATCAATACAAGACTATTCCATCTTTCCATAAACAGAAAGCACATCACGTTGGATATAAATTTAATATTTCAATAGTATTTGCAGAAAATTCAAGGAGTGACATGTGTGAAAGACTCAAAGCAGAATATATTCACAAACTGTGTTCATTCTTTTTATATTAAGGGCTGCTCAGAAACTGGTCTCAAACAGTATGGGTTTTTTCAGCTGCTATAACTGGACCAAATAAACAATAACTAACAAAGGCTAACTTTGGGCTCTGCATTTACAAGGATCTTCTGCTTCACAGATTTTGACAGGTCTTGATTTTTGTTTGAAGTCCTAGACATACAGGAATGTGTTTCTGTTAGCAACAATTATTCTAACATACAAATAACTTTTTTTAATCTGATCTAAACATGAACTCAGACCAATGTATATTTACATTCGTCTTTGGAGATTCTGCTCTGATTTGAATTTAAATTTTGGGATTCAACCCCTAGACATGAGACATATGGCATTATTTGATATAATCCAAGGGCAGCTCTAACAATGGAGTTCTTTGACCTTTTTACTTCTCACATTCATAATATATAACAATATTATAGTATGAAGTAGTATGACATAATGTACGTAAGGACAGCATTTTAGGTACAGTCATTATATTTTTAGCAAATATGAAGAGTTCTTTCCAGATGACCATAGATTCTTGATTTTATGCTCAGATAGGACAAAATGTATGGCATAAATTGCCAAAATAATTAAAAATATATTCTCACAAAACCCATGCCATATTTTGGTAATGAAATGGTATTTTTACAAAAAAATGAACTGTTTGAATAATACAATGCAGTTAGGTGTACAAACATTTCTTCACAAAAACAACATTTGTGGAAAGCTTTTCAAATATAAAGCAATACATAGCTCTGAGAGTTTGAGAGCATATTGATGAATAAGGGAGGCAAATACATAAAGAAATAAGTGAGATCACAAGAATAAATAAAAATAAAAATGAATAGAAATAATATCAAGTATTTACACATTTTAGATATACTGTATGCTTGTTGGAACACATTTTAGGCCTGTGATAATAAAAAAAACCCTTACTTGCAATAGTACATTGATAATCAAATTCTGAATACCTAGTCCAATCCATAATCAAGAGAACATGGTGGAACTACATTTTTCCTCTTTCTTCATTAACTCTCATATCCAAGGGGACAAGCCATTTTTTTTTAAAAAGGACCAGTGCCTTGCTGTTAAAGATATAGAGACACTGCAAGGCAAAATTGGCTCTCCCATTAGGCAGAATGAAACAATCGCTTTAGATGACTGATGCTGGGATGAAATAATGGTAATTGTCTTAATCATTCCTCCTGAGCTTCCCTCCCCTCCCAAAAAAATCTTAAATTACCCTGAGTGTGCTCTACAGCTTGCCTGAATGTCATGGGCTAACTCTGCTGAATGGAAAAGATTAAGACAAAGTAATGTGTGATTGGCTCTTCTCCTTTCAAGGATGAAATAACTGTGGAATGTGTTTTGAAATAACAATTTAATTGGGTACCTCCAAAATGCTTTGGTGAATTTGAGGTCCTTACATATGGTACAGAATATTACAACTTCAGTTATATGTGTTTGACTCTCTGATATTGACATAAATAGCTGGCCAATGTGGTTTCCCTTTTCCTTAATCTCTGCCTATCAGAACACATTTGGGATGGCAAAACTGACATTATTTAGGAGCTTCATTCACTTTCTCAGCACTTAATTGCTTTAATATGTCAAGCTATAAATCCTAACTTCATTCTTCCTGTGCTAACTACTACGCTCTCCTATTCACACAACTGGGAATTCAACTCAGCACTAAGCATTCTAAATATAGACTCATGGCTGACCTTATTTTTATAGTCTGCATTACTGAAGCAGATTTAAGTCTCTTGACAATGAAGGATTGGGTGCCAGATTAATATTTAGTGGCACTTTTAACATCCTAAAAATAGGGATCAGGTTGAAAGGCTACAATTTTTTGTACTGCTGTCAGTTATTTTGATTTTTTTGCACACTGGTATGAATCTACCAGGAATATGGGGGTACAGAAGTAAATAAAGCAAATAAATAAATAATCAATAAGCAAATAAATAATCAATTTGCTCCTCTGTAATTTACCTATCTTATATTACCATGTACTTTCTGACTTCTGCTGCCTATTCTAACTAAAGCAGAACATTGATAATAAGCCATACTCCTCACTCAACCAAGACTTGCAGATAACCAGGAGGTCCTTTTGAGAAAGGGCCAGGTTTGCCACCAATTATCCTAACCTTCCAAGCACCAAATAATGCCTAGTTATCAGAAGCAGCGCAGTTATATCAGAAGCTTTCACCAAAAGTCCTAATCAGACTAATACCCAACCAAACCAATGATGAGAGGATCCTTCCAAAGAAAAGCCAAGTTTCGTAACACTTATGTCAGCCATCTTGGCATCCCTACTTAATTATCAAAGGAAATGAAGCATCACATGACTGTGACAGGAAAAACAAATAGAAAACTAGGAGGATTTAAAAAACACCAGTTTTTAAAATGTGCATTTTCAATTTAAGCTAGGATATATTGGTTCTTTATTAAATAGTTCGGAAATTATTTTTCTATAATTTATGTTTATCTCTGCCCTAAAATAGTTATGAAGAAATATTGGATATGTTACCTCGCAGCCAGATGGCAACAAACAAATTTAATAAATAATAGTAATATTTTAAAAATGTACTGGGCTAAAACTTTTGGCGATATCCAAGTGAAACTTAATAGGATTAACATTCTGGAAAGGACCTATCATCACGGCTGTTTTCATCCCATTCAGCCAAAAATGAAGCAGCTTCTAGCATTTTGAATTTTTCCCATTATAGTTATCAACAATATCTGAATTTGAAAATGGCTCAAATCAGATAGCCAATGAATTTTCAATTACAGATTTGGATCAAATCATACCATCTTGGAATTTCAAATATCTAATTCAAATTTAATCAGGGGTGATTCACAAAGACTTATCTATTTGCTATTAAAACTCTTGTGTTTGTATCCTTAAACTGGGCAAAACAGCGCATCACAAGGTAAAAACCTTTTCAACCAAGGTATCTCAGCCTAACTTAGGGAGTGCCAGGACCCATTATTCTTGTGAAAATGTTTTTTTTAAAAAAAAAAAAAAAACTTGCTGTTTCAATGTCATTGCTCTTCACTGGCACAGCTGCTCTGCCACAATCATGTGGTCCTCATTTCCTTCCCACAAGTCAATGGGGAAACCTGGGAAGCTTGCAGAAGACAATCAATGGGGATCTCATGACCTCATCTGATGGCGGGAGCATGGTAGTGATTTTGGACTTCTTTGTTTAAATAAAGATCACAGATTGCTAGTTATAGATAAAAGTACAGGAGCATATTTACCTGTCTTTGGTTCCACAGAAAAATAAGGTTGACCTTGAAGGATGCTGTAAACTACTCTGGCACTGTTGCCATATGTAGGGTCATCTGCATCAGTTGCTGTTACTTGTACCACAGAGGTTCCTGAAAGTGTTCAGAAGTAAAAATAAATTTGTTAATGTTTGTCATGCAACAGAAAAACAGAATATTATGCTTCTGAGGTGAGCATTTTTAATGAAACTCAGCCAATAATATAGCTCTGAACCATCTTGACATGTATATCATTTCGATTAGAACAAACTTCTTTGATGCTTTTAACATCAAACAAGTTGATAACAATTATCAGCTATTCATATGATGTTATTTTTGAACTGCAAAACCAGATAGTACCGGAAATAGAAGGCATCTTCCATTTGCTCCCAGAGAAAATGCATACAAGATACAAACAAGTCAAGTCAATGTCAAGACAATTCAGCAATCTATCCAACCATAAGACTTTAATATTGATCATTCAAGAAAGATTTTATGCTATAAAACTTATAGTATCAGTCTTCTCCTACCATTTGAAGCAATTATTCTGGACTAGAAAATGGAGTTTTTGTAAGTATGTGTTACAAAGGTATGAACAGATATCATCTATGTTCCTGGAGTACATATGATGGTAGGAAAGCCCAGACTAATGATAGCTGCCTGTGATGCTCCAGGGAATTGTTATAATGGAAGAACCAGAGACAAATTCACAGAGAAACATGTGGTCTGTTGTGAGGAATAAATGTTGAAAAAAGCTAAAATGACTGTGTATGCTTTTGCCTACATTGTTGTATGAAGTGAAAGTTGGATATGCTAAGGAAAACCTTTCAAGTATGTTAAATGGGGTATCCAAGAACTAAACATGGTAAAAGAAAAGATATAGGATTAAGAATGAATTGGGCCTTGACAAATGTAACTTAATACAAAAGCATATGACCAGTATGAAAGAGGTGCGCTGAGGTAGTTTGATCATCTAGAGCAGGTGTGTCAAACTTGCAACGTCACGTGATGTGTCAAGACTTTTTTTCCATTGCCAGCAATGGGGTGGGCGTGGTTCCGGCATGACGCATCTGGCCTGCGTGCTGGCAGTTTGACATCCCTGATCTAGAGAAAATTGATCAGGCTCAAATAGAAAAGAAAAAGAAATGAGTAAAAGGGGAAAAAAAGAAGAACAAAAAGTCATGGTTTGAAGGGGTTGGGGTTGATGAAATAAAAAAGGGGAGAAGGTTAACTAAATATGAATTGGTCTATGGGCAGAACATAAACAAGGACAGTTTACAAGGATGCAAATGTTATAGTGTCATATGATGACTGAAGTTAATGTCTATACGTTTGCTTTTCATATCTCAAGCGTTTAATTCTACAGCACAGTATTTCTTATTCATTCATTTGTTCATTCATTTTTTTGCATTTTGAATCATAAAATGGTTTATGCCAAAATGGAATAGTGTGATATATACATATATAGGACATCTCAGTATGTGCAAAATAAGGTTTTGTTTTCTTTCTTAAGACTGTAAGTACTGTAAAGCAAAATATTATGGTTAATAGCTTTTAGGATTCTAAAAAAGCACAAAAGGAATACATTCTCTATCCCTTATTAACAGATGCCCTCTGAAATAGATAAAATACCTTTACAAAGAAACATATTTTTGTTTCTTTGATGAGGACTTTCTCAAATATTGCCAACAAATAAAATTGCAAATGGCACCACAATGTTTGCAAGTATGTTGCTATGTTTATCTAGTCTTTTTAGAAACATATGGCCATGCAGTTTTGCCATTAGGGCAACCTATGAGACAGAGTTCCAGGTTTCATTCCCACTGTGATCTCAAAGGTCCATAGCAGGAATCACACCCCACTTATTGAGATAAGTAACCATAATCCACATTTTCATATTATCTAAAAGCACATTTGGATTCGGCAGAGCCTTCCTATTCTGATGGCCTTTATAGATCCCTTGTCTCTTGTCACTGCTGCCCATCTCTGACCCAGGAAATGTACTAACCTTGACACGACACTTACTTAAAACAAGCTTATTTTATCACATTTAAGGGATAAGTCATTTGAGAACAAAAATGCCTGTAGAAAATTATTCTCTTGGGCAGCATGACCAAAGAAAAGGATTGTTGAAGCTGTAATTAAATCTGTGGAAGATTCCAAGTTGCCTGGTTGTATAGTAGAGAAATCTTTTTCTTTCCATCTAAGCTCTATTCTGTTAGAAGATAAAATCAAATCAAGTCTTTACTGCGGTCATAGACCAGCATAACTGCTAGAAGATTGTTTTTCCCAAATACATAATCAAGTTAGCCTTTAGGTATGTTGTCCTAAATAGAGAGTGTTCTGAAAAGATTGCTGATGTGGGAGTAATAGAAACAAAGTCAGAGTTTTTCACCAGAAGACAAATTGTAAAGCAAAGAAACAAAGGCTTGTGGCAGACAGGAGAGGGGAGAAAAGATATATAGACAAGCAAAATGGTTATGTAATGATATTGATACCTCAGTGTACAAGGGAGAGCAAGAGTAAGAAGTGAGGGAACTTGGAAGGCTATAAAGAAAAGCAAGAAACATTAGAGGAAGGGGTGAATTACAGACTTTCTTTATAATCTGTCTAAAACTGTCTGCAGGAGCAGTGTAAATTTTCAGAGATATCCAGAAACAAAACAAAACAGAACAGGTGCTCAGGGACTCAGCAGGACTTTACAAGACAAAACTGTAAATTACAAACTCCCAAAGCAGGTTCACGGGAATAGCTGTGTGGACAAACTACCTCTCCAATGATTCTCCTAAACTATTCAAGTCTACCTAAAGGTAGAAATTCAGAGGCAGCCCAGGCAGGTGGTGTAGCACAGGCAGCCTGCCTCCTGGGCCTACTGAATGTTAATTCCGACAGACTGAGCCCACAGTATATCTGCCAGATGTGATGAGATAGGCAGATGCATTTGGAGATAACCCAGATAACCCAGCCATGAGTGGATTTAAATGTAAAAAATGAATTAGACCTGGAACTGGCAAACAATGCAGCTCGCAGAGCAGAGGTGTAATATGTACAACCAATGGTGGGATTCAAATATGTGAACAACCAGTTCTCTGTGTGGATGCCATTCCAGAAGTCCATTCTGGGTCTGGGCAACAAAAAAATAGCTACCGGTTCTGCCAAAGTGGTGCGAACTGGTTGAATCCCACCACTGTGTACAGCTCTATGGTAGCTCTATGGTATGTCTGTGCTGCTGAATTTTGCATCAGTTGAAGCTTCCAGATACTATTCAAGGGCAACTCTATTAAAGCACATTACAGAAATTCAAACAGGAAGTTACTAAGACAGGAGTGAGAGTGAGCAGAGAGCTGGATCCGGGAATGGTGCAACTGGTGTACAACATGAATCTGTACAAAGGCTCCTAACCACGATTACTACCTTTTTTCAAGCAGGAGTCATGAGTCCAGGAGGAGACCCAGATTGTGCATAGGGTCTGTCTGGGGTAATGCCACCAGTACCAAAGATGCCATGGTTCCAGAACCAGAAGGCCCCCAAAGTGTCCCAGTCTTGCCAGGATTCAATTAAAGCCTATTCCAGACCCTTACAATCTCTAAGCATTGGGATAAGACATTTGCAGCATTGCTGAATTCACCAGAGGTGGAGATGTGTAATTGGATATCATTTTGATAAAGATTATCAGTTTGGATCATGATTTTGATCTCAGATGTTAGAAAGTCATTAAGTCAATTTACAGCAGTGTTGCTGGCAGCATACAAAATGGACAAAAAATGTACAAGAGAGAATAGATAGAGGTTTTCATGACTGTTCAAGAGTGAAGAGACTAAGAATGACAAGACCCAGCTTATAGTCCACCTTCAACCATAGAAGGTAAGTGGGTTTCTTTAAAACAGGTACTTTCCATCAGCCTGCTGTGGGGAAAAAAATGGGGCAGGAAATATTAAGTATATTACCTTGAAGGAAAAGCTTGAAGGAAGAGCTTGAGATGAATTTTAATGAGAATTTTTTTTATAAAAAAACTTGTGTTAATATAGACATTTAAAAATTGAAAATATGTATGCATGTATGTATGACATGAATCTCCAGCCTGAATGTCCCTGAACATAAGGAAAATGCTTCTAATGAAATGGCCTAAGAATAAGTTTCTTATAAAATAGAACCAAGACCATTTTTACACATAATTTCTTAACTTTTTCTTTTTTCAACCCAATTCATACAGACACAGATATATACATACATACAAATCCAGAAAAAGATCATCTTTTGGTGGCCACCAGCTACTGCTATTTCTATCAATACTGTGAAGGCCCACAGTTCTGTGGAACTTCTCTGTGGAAAAAAAACAACCATTGAAAATATCTCCAATTACTCTGCCAAATTACAAATTGGATAGAGAAATTAGTATCAGGAAGATTAAATATACTAAGTGTGCACAAAATGTCTTTATTTATGATCTTTTCTTCAATGTGATCTACTTTCTGTTTTAAGAATTTGACCCCAATACTTTCCATGCTCCGGTTCTTCAAAGAACAGCTTTTTACAAGTTTAATTCCAGGACAGAGTCATTTTCAAGATGTCTACAATTCACATACTGAGATTTATCTTCTGTATTTGTTTAAAAACTATTAAAAAACAACATACACCAAGAGCACTATATATATTTTACTCCTGAGCTTTGTATTTTACATCCTGGCAACTGGATGAAAGAATGGTGGTCTAAAATTTCAACTGGATTTATCTAAGTGTTGCGTTATATGCAGTAAATGTGATATGAAGTCATACTGCAAAGTTCCTAACGCCTCCTTTTTCTTTTTTTAACATTATGACCATTATTTAGTGCCCTTTCCTTTGTTCTCCTGAGTACAATGTTGCATTCTAGAATTTATAATCTCTCTTGGAACCACAGCCGGAGCTCTTGAGACTTGCATTTACTGACAACAGTCTTTACAAATACCTCCAGCAATCAGCTCTATTTTTACAGTTAGTAATTCTTGAGGAAGTCACTGAAGCATATATAAACTTCAGTGACAGCCTCTAAATTCCACTAGTGAAACTGTATAAATCCAGAAGTTCACCTACAGACAATATCATAGATTTTGCCAACCCAGTCGCTCAACTTC